CAGGCTACATAGTTTAAACTATTTATTATTTGATCAGTGTTTGTCATGGAAAAGCCGGAGTTTTCGTAGATTGTACGTTCTGAAAAGTAAAACTAATAACTGACATGCTCAGAAAGTAGATCTGCAACCGAAACCGAAGGTATCAACAAAACGCAACTTTTTGGTACAGTAGTCAAAAATTCTAGAACTAAGCTGGGACGTTATTTTCGACAGCGAAGATGTGGAATCTGCTTCATTTTACTTGCGATCAAGTAAAACCGTGCATATGTCTACGCGTGATCCACCATGGATGAACCGCTGGCCAAGGCGCTGCTTAAGAAAAAAGCCAAGGTTAAATGCCGCAGTCCAAACGGACGGGAGGCGGCGTGGCCGAGTGGTTAGGGTGCTGGACTTGTAATCCGGTGTCCCGGGTTCAAAACCTCCACCCTGCCACTTAGTGGATTTGTTCTCGGTTGCCCCTGGTTCAACTCCTCGGCTGCGCTCTGTAAATAGCCCACTGGTCTGCCTCCTGCCAGTGGGGAGTTTTAAGCACTTAGTTAGTTTACATTGTGGCCCTAAGGGAGAGCTTCAATTTACGTATTTATTTATTTAGTTATTATGCTCAATCAATCTTAAAGAAAGAATTAACGCGATAGTTACAGAAAATCGTAAATTTCTGGCGAGTGGAAAGTTGGGTTCTAAGGCTTGGCGGAAAAAGGTTGATGTACTGTCAAAAAGGAAAGAAAGTTCCAACTCAATCTTTGGCGAGGGCCTTTTGAGAGAACTTAATCATTATTTTGCAAATTTATGTCACGATGAAGATTACATCAGTCCTGTACCCATCGGCAACAAGGAAAACATTCCTGCACCAGAGCTCACACTGAGCCAGGTTGACTATGCTCTGCTCTAAACAAAGCAAACAATTACCGGCCCAGATAATGTACCATTCTGGGTCTGGAAGGAGAACGCTGCCCTATTGGCACCGGTAGTGCAAGCAATCTGGAACCTATCCTTGTCAACTCAAAGGTGGCCCAGTGTATGGAAGCAAGCTAATGTCTATCCGCTACCCAAAGTAGATATTCCAGTCCAGCCCCAGGACTTTAGGGGAATCAGCGTTACACCACGCCGATAATTGCTAGGACTTTTGAACGAGCTCGTATGATACTTTCGGTGAAGAAATTGTGGAGAGTTGCTTGAATAATAACCAGTTTGCGTACAGAACAGGAGGCAGTTGTACAAACGCCCTTCTTAAAATACAGAATGAATTTCTCCAAGCCTTAGATAGTAACAATAACCGGGCGGTCAGACTGTTTGCGATCGATTTTTCTAAAGCATTTGACAGAGGCAAGCACAACTTATTTTAATAAGTTGTGCTTGTATGGCTCTAGACCCATACATTGTCAACTGGCATGTCAGCTTCTTGTTTAACAGAAAACAAAGAGTGGTCTGTCATAATACTGTTTGTGATTGGAAGGATGTCAACCGTGGTACTACCCAGGGAAGCTTCAGCGGCCCGTATTTGTTTAATCTGTTCTAAAACGATCTTGATTGATATCGCTCGGTACTGTCAGGATAGCGATCTTATTAACTATGCAGACGACGCTTCTATTCTTGTGACTGTGCGTAAGAATAGTATAGATGAATCACAAAAGGCACTGTATGCATTTTTGAAGTGGACGGAGGTTAATGGTATGCGCTGTAACACAAGAAAATGTAAAGAACTCTGTAGGACTAAAAAATGTGTTATACCTAAATTCCCGCCTCTATGTGGCATAGAACAGCATGACAGTTTCACTGTAATAGGTGTCACATTACAAGATGACCGTAAGTTTTCATCTCATGTTAAGGGAAAGCTTTGGGAAGCTAACAAGTGTTTGTACATTTTAAGATCACTAAGAAAAGAAGGATACACGTAGGTAGAGATAGATCATCTCTTTAAGGCTATTGTTTTGCCAAAGATCACTTACGCACTTCCAGTATATGGAGCCAGCCAGGCAGATCTTAACGCCATACAATGTTTCTTAAAAAGGTGCAATAAATTAAACTACGTTACACCACTGAGTTAATTGACATCGAAGACTTTTTAGAGAAATGCGATCGCAGGTTGTTCACCAAAATTAGGAACAGTGCTAACCATCCATTATATGCCCTTCTGCCCAAAGTCAAAGAGTCATTCAAGAAGTTAAGATCACAAACAAGCCAATTACCACGGATTAATACAGAACGTTTTAAGAATTGCTATTTTAATGGAATAAGGTTTGAATACAACTTGGCTAAGTAACATTATATATCCTATGTTTTTTTTATTTTATATAATTATTGTAACGATTTATATATCCTCACTCTCTGTACCGTTTGTTATGTATTTCAACGAGCGAAATAAAGATGTTTCATTCATTCATTCAATCTTTCAAGAACTCTGAGATTGTTCAAACGTTTATCCCAAGTTTTCGGGGAGATCAAGTCTTAAAAAACAATTTAAGTGCGTTCGAATTTGCCTAGTTCTCTAAAGTGAGCGTTTCTTCTGTTAAACTTTATTTCTTGGTAAAAGAGATAACTTAAAATAAACGGAAGAGAAATCCTACAATATTTTACGAAAGCTGATGTCACCAAGGAAGCCATAGGTCTTTTGCTCTGTGATAAATGCAGAAACATCCGCGAGGCTTCCCCGATCTAATTAATATCAACATCAATCGTGACGCATCCACTGAACCCAAAAATATCCGACATGAAAAACCGTGCTGGTTTTCATTTCTTTGCCGCTTCGTCAAATTAATCGAAGCCCTCTCTCGGCCTCTGCTTGTAACTACATCAACCAGATGAAGAAACGTAGCTTGGAAAGGCTAGAGAGGTGAGCTAAGGATATTTCATTAACATCAATGACGATATGGTTGTTTACTTCATCAAAACAGGGCCCGTCTTGCATCATCTTCGATGAATGTTTCTCGAGTAGAAACGTTGTCCAATCACATGATCGTAGTACACAAGAGTTATGGTTTACCACCAAAATACCTCTCTGTCGAACAGTGCAAGTCGCTCCGAGTAATTTTATGTATACATTGATTGTAAACAATATCATTTCGTCTGCCTCGCTAACTTCGCATTCTACGTCGGTCGAGAAAATCGAAGGGCTAAAAGTGACATAAGGACGAGTAACAGAGGAGTAGCGTACTGTCTGTTAGGATTACTTTGGTGATAATCTATGAAAAAAACATTCGATATCGTGCTTTATTTCCTAATTCTTTTTTTTGTTTTTTTGTTCCCTGTGATTCAGGGAACGTACGAAGTAAACTATAAGTGCTATATATCTGGGATAAGAACGGTAACTAAAATGACGATATTCTTGCCGCAACTGAAGCCTCCGTATTTAGAGAATTCGAAATCATCGCCAAGAAAACTCTCGAAAATAAAGTCAAGCACAACACACGAAGAAAACAGACACTGGCAAGGCATCAGTTTGAATAGATATAAATGACAAAAAATGACAACAGGGAATTGCAGTTTCTCGACCGAAACGTTTTTGGCGGATTCCCGGGAAGCTGGTCGTTTTCTTTCGCTATTAAAGAAGCATACAAAAAGGATTTTCGAAATCTCTTTCAGGTGTTCTACATAACTCATGGGTTTTTTTTAACAATCTAAAAAGCTGTTGAGCGCTTTGGCAGAGAACTTAAATGCAAATGATAAGAACATGTCTCGAGGCGACCCCGGATATTGACGTTAGCACGAGATAATAATTTGAAAGAACTTATCGCCCATACATACGGAGGGTATCGAATGGTCCCATTCACTAAAAGTGCTCGCAAAATTTGGCATTTGCTCGAATTTCTCGCAAAATTACACGGGTGCTCGCTTGCTCGTGCTCGCAAAATTTTCGCAACTGCTCGCATACTCATTAACATGTGCTCGATCGCTCGAAATTTCGTTAATCCTGCTTTGTAGTTTTTTTTTATATATATAAAGAAACGATAAATCAGTTGTGATATTGTTAAAATAAAAAGATTGAAACATTCTTTCCTCTGGCAAATTGGTAAGCGTGAAACTTCGTTGATTTTATCTTGAAGCCGCTGGTATCTTGATAAATTCTTCACATATTCGCAATTTAAGACAATTTTTCTCCATCAAAACGCTTACAAACACAATAATTGTGCCAGCACGTGTTGCCCACGATCAAAAAATATTTCCAAAGTTAAGAAAGCCAGATTGCGGGTTACGTCAAGGGCGCTAAAAATTAATACCATGAGGTTGCTCTAAGGAGCCTTTGATTATCGCTGAATTACATCGAGTGTATCAAGATGGACAAGATAAATCATTCTTCGACGTTAAAATAAATAATCAATTCATACGGTTTAGAGCCTCCTTAAATTGTCAAACAAACAAACAAAACGAATTAAACAAACAAAAAAACTAACGCGACTTCAAACATGATCCACGGATCAGTGTACAAATTTATCAGAATGATCGATGACTCTCTGATATCAATTAATGATAAAGAAAAAGGGGTCATTAAAATAGTTTTCGAGATCCAGTCAGATTAAGATAAAAACTAGGAATTTTTTTAAGGAGAGTATGATATTTCTATGGTGAACTTATAATTTAACAAAAGTCCACTGAGAGGACACGTGGTTAGTGTTTATTGTTTTTTAAACATGTGAGAGCGAATTTTGAACGGGAATATTCTTGCTACATTCCAATTCCAATTTACGCGCAGAGAGAAAACTTTGCAGTTTTAGAAAATTATAACCTTTATCTAAATCTCTAAATTGTCAAAGTTTTACTATTAGTGATACATTCGCCACCCTTTTAAGGGTTTTCGTTTCAAGCATTTTGCGATCTTGTTAATGAGATCGACAAGGCCTTCGTGACCTATATACTTGAACTGTCGCTCTGTCGGCTGTCTTTGTAAAATTTGTGGTAGAGAAATATTTATTTAGACTGTTGTTATAATGTTTTTTTTAATTCTGATCATGTGATGATCTTCCACAAGCTCATGATCACGTGGCTTGAACTTGGATCGGTGAACAGTAGAAAGTTAGTTTATCCGTCTGCAGTAAACCTGTTTCAACCACGCTCGTCAAGAAATGCAAACAGGTTAGTGACACCCTATTCCAACGAAGCGATCCAGGAATGCCAATGATTGGGGGAAGATTTTGAGCACTTGCCTGATTTGAGCGAGTGGATGAATACATTTTCGATGTTATCAAGTAACTTCCGCCCAGTCGCGGAAAATTCTCAATATAATTGGCAAAACCTCCTATATTTTGGGGGCCAAAATGTGAACATCCGCCCAAAAGTGATAAGTTGTTTTTTGGCGAGCCTTTTCTTCGTAGTTTGATTCTCCATCTCCCTGGGCTTATCAGCACTGATGCAAAATTCAACAATCGGTCATGAAATTTAGACGTAACAGAATTAAGCAGGTCACGGCGAATGTCATCCCAGACGTCTGATCTTTTACTCAGCTAGGATAACATTACATTGAATCGAATCAATGCAAACGTTAATTAGATGTTTTTTACGTAATACAAGCAAGTCCTTCAAGGTCTATATCGACTTATTCCAAACGGGGAAAAGATCGTGGAAAATGCTACAGTCACGTCGAAGGATTTACCTGGCGATACCGAGAGGAGGGATCCTGTTAAAGAGACTTTTGTTGCGTTACAGTTGTCACGTAGCGCGTGACTATCATTTGCACTGATTGATTCGTTATTCTAGACTCGTCATTTTTTTAGTTAGTTTTTCCACTAGTCGTCGCATCGCTGGGTCACTTGTAACATCGTCGTAAGAATATCAAAACAAGAAATCGTCGTTGATACAGTCTGATCGAATCGTCATTAACTATTTTATTAAAGTTGGGAAAATCGTCCTTGACAGATCCGCCTCATCTTTCGATTTTTATTAACCCCTAACTAGCTTGGACTGGCTGAGATTTAACGTTAGAAGTAGAATAGCTCATTTTCCAAACCAGATATTTTTTAACAAGCTCATTCTTCTCATTTTATTAATTAGCCAGATGCTATCTGATTGTAAAGACTGCACGAGCTCCACTACTTTTCTGGACGCTACATAATTGATTTCATGATAGGGGTGGGAGGAGTGGGATAGGCTTTCTAACTTTAAATTTATTGGGGCATTAAAGCCGCGAGAACCCAAGGCGACCCAAGCTCTCTTTGAGAACCACCAAGGAACGCAATTTGCATATCGATTTATAAGGATTTGTACTGGGATTTTCTACAAGATATCCATAGAGATAGTTAAAAGTGAAAATATTAAATAAAATTGGCTTACCTTGTTCCATACGTGTGTTGTTTGCTCCTGGTGTCGTTACTTTACCGATTTCACTTGATTTATGTGGAAGAGAACCAGGATAAGAAAAACCCGCTTAAATCAAGTGAAATCGGTAAAATAACGACACCAGGAGCAAACAACACACGAATGGAATAAGGTAAGCCATTTTTATTTGATATTTTCACTTTTAACTATCTCTATGGATATCTTGTAGAAAAACCCATACAAGTCCTTATAAATCGATATGTAAATTGTGTTCCTTGAGTGGTTCTCAAAGAGAGCTTGGGCTGCCTGTGCGAGAACGAGCAGGAGAGCTTCAAACCTCTCGTAAAACGGCCACTGGGTTTTCAAGGTTCTGTTGCACAGCTTGTCAATACGCACAAAACCATCAACTAGTCAGGCTACTACAATTACAAATGTCTCTCTTAGGTCCCATCCGCACTAGCAGACAAAACTGAAATTAATTGTCCCGACAAAAATCAAAGAACAAATTTTGTCAAGACAAATTTTTGTCTTCTCTGTTATCCGCACTAAAAGTTTCGAGGCTGTCAAAGACATGAAATTCAGTCAACAGCCAAAACTAACACCGATATTATATTCCATTGCAATTTATTCAATCGAGCTTTTCCTTTCCCTTTGCTTCGAGCGGGCACTTTTGGATCTTACGCCACCTCTACTGCTTCATTGGACTGGTTAAGTGGCGACTGGATAATCACTCCAACGTTGTAACTTGCCCTGGCTGCAGGAAAAATTGTCCCTTGGTTGTCATAAGGTGGGAAATTCCAGCGCCTAACCTGCTCATAAGAGTGGCAGCTTTAATTTTCGTATGGATTTAAACTCCAGTTACCGGGATTCAGTCTGAATTTGTAAAATCCGCGAGTTTCGCAACGAAAGACAATTACTGCAGTCTTTTGTTAAACTGAACTCTGTACAATTACCACACTGGTGTTTGCGTTTATGACCGGTAAATGATCGACAAGTTAATCATGATTTTGTTTATTTAGTCGATTTTGCCAAGGTTTTACCCGGGACAATTTTTGTAGGCGGTGCGTTTGGGAATTTGTCCTCTTCTGCCAAAATTTGTCAAGTCGCGACAAACCTTCGACATTTGTAAAGTGTTGGTGATGACAGAAAATTTGTCAAAATAAAAAAATTTTGTTGCTAGTGCAGTAGTTGGCTAGGTGCTCGGGGAATGTCAACTGCTAAAGAAGCTGTAAGCTACTATTTTTAGTACATCACGTATTCAAATTTCAAATTTCGGCGCGAAAATCGTTACCTTGTTATAATACATTTAAGAGTTCGCCATTCGGCGCCAGCACGTTGTGTAGTGTCCGTCTCTATCGAGCTGAAAATTTTTCTATGGTAAATGTCAGTAATGATTTCTACAGCTAAATGTATTTTTAAAATCTGCAGCTTGTTTGTCAATACAATGCATTGGTATTTCACCATACACATTTTCAAACACAGCTTAAGAAGAGTGTAACGAATTTGGCGCCAATTTAATCTCACTTTTAGAATGGAATAATTGCTGTAGACTTGTTAAGAAACTTTGTATTTTGTTACCTTTCTGAGTTAATTAGTGAGAGGTAATTATAACTGCACTGGGCCGGAATCTGCTGATGCGTTCTGATCGATTCTGAGAAAAGAAAACGGACGAACGCGGTAATCAACTTTGAAAAATTTGTCACAGACTCTTACTTAAGTGTTGATCTACTTTGTCTAACTTGTTAGTAATTCTGCGTATTCTTTAGTCGTGACTTTCTGAGAACAAGTTAAAAAGAGAAAATTCAATGTAGCATTTCACAAGCTAGTGAGAATCTTCTGTTTTATGTCCGCTTCTAGAGCGGTAACTAAATTCTCATGTTCCGTCGGAAGATCAGTAACTTCACGTAATCATATGCTGTACGGAGTCAAAATGATTGATTTGCATATTTGACATACATACATACATACATACATACATACATACATCCTTTATTTGGTAAAGCAGGTTGAGGAAATGGCAGCTAATGCTGATAATAAACAGCTAAAAATCTATACGTCTCCTAGTATGAATAATCATACGTATCAATAATACATTATATATACGGGTAGGATAAGTAAGTAAATAAATAAATATCAGTATCAGTCAAATTAACTCAAACAATGCATTTAACAATGCAGTAAACACGATTAACAAATTGCAAAATGGCCTCCCATCTAAATAGGAATCAGCGAGCCAACCCTCTTAAACCTATAGTAATTTAGGACGGCCGCGGGTTCTCTTTCCGTCTCAAACAATACCATCTCTTAAAACGCTTTTCCCTCGGTTTCTAGCTTTTGTAGGTTATGTCCTGTCGACTGATTCAACTGTGAACAAACTCAGAAGTGTTGGATGACATCGGGTGACGGAACGGTATGTATTTAAGGATAATAAAGTTGTCTAGACATCTATATCCATTTCACTTCCATAACCAATGGCTCGCTATCATCGTTTTGCAACAGCCGTGTTATTGGGAATCTAATCGTGGACGAGCCCCGAACGAAGTGTTTGTTCGTCAAATCAGAGTTTAACCAATTATAACTCTTTAGTAAACAGATATCGTTGTCCCAGCGGTTCCAAAATAATAGTGTTTCTCCTTCAGGCATGCGCTTTTTTAATTTTTTCATTTGATCTGGTGGACAACTTGACAATAGGTCACTCGAAGAGCATTCGCGTAGTCGAGGATTTGTGGAAGGCGCATTTAAGGACCGGTCAATATCACGAGGGTTAACTGTGTAACGATGAAATTTACCTGATCACCCACCCCCCTTCATCTTTGGAAGTTAATTGGCAGTTAATTTTCTATGATTCCCTTGTTAGCGACAGGTAACCCCCCAATGAATGGTCCCCTAAATACATAAAAAAAAAAAAAACAAACAAACTATAGAGGACTCTTTCGGGTATCAGTTTTCCTGAAGTTTCACTTTTAGTCCGACTGAGAATGAATTTTATAGTGGAGCAAAGAACTCTTTAGCTAAGCTTTAGTTCAGGGATCTAACTCCAGATGAACCAGCTATTTTCTCTGTCCTAGAAACAAGGAAAATGGATCCCCGCGACAGAATAGAATTCCTTAAATCAACGATTTATCATCTGCAGCAGGGGAACTTAGTTCAAGCGAAAGAATCACTACAAAAAAATCAGCAGTGTTTCCAAGACTTGGCGCCATGTGAGTTATCAAAACCCACTTTACAGGAGATAGAGGTAGTAAACAAGGCAGAGGAAATATCGATAGGGAATGTGGCGTGGAGTCTTCGAACTGGAACAATTTTGTTGCCTCAAACGTTTTCTAAGAACGTCTTTGTCCGCTTTGTCAATATCGTTGGTGCTGTAGCTTTAGTCACGAGTTGTCTTGATACAGCTGAGAAAGTACTTGATCAGTTAAAACAGTACATTGAGCAAGCTGAAGAATCAGTTATAAGCCTTGGAGTTGCCCTTAATAACCTAGGTTGCGTGTATATTATTAAAGGAAGTTTTCAAGAAGCAAAAGTTAGTCTCCAAAGAGCTCTTGAGGTAGTCAAGAAAGGAAAACAGTGTGTCACAGCTGAGGAGACAATCGTAACAATAGGTAACAACTTACGACTTGTGTATCAGGCTCAGAGGAGCCATATAGCTGACTTGCAATTGCAAAATGTAAGCCCCTTCTCCATACAACCAAGAATTATTGCAATAGTTGATTACAATGAAGCCCTAACCTCTGTGGACAACAGAAATCTTAGAAAAGCTTTGGGCGAGCTTGAGAACTTGAAAAAATTTTGTGAAACAGAATTAGACCAAAGTAAGGGACTGTTAACCTGCATTTTGCTTAAAATTCGTTCAGTTTGTTTGATGCTACAAACCTCTAGTGCAAGCACTACAGCTATTGATTCTAAGATTTTGACCTTGCAAGGGTTGAAGGAACTTGTTGATGTAAGTACAGACTTTTCCTTAGACTTCTTAGTCACAATTGTGGAGACTGTGGCCGACATTCACCGTTATCAAGGTAATCTTGACCTCGTCTGTAGTTATTTCTCCTATCTTGTACCGGTTGTTCGTGAACGATGTGGTGCGGATCACCCAACACTTGCTTCTATACTGTCAGAGCAGGGAGTTGTTTTTCTCCACTTGGAAAACGTTGCACACTCCAGGCAATGTTTCACCGCTGCATTAGAGATTTTCACCGGAACTTTTGGTGCTGTTCACCCTGATGTTCTCAAATGCAATGCAGGTCTTGCGAGGCTGGAATTGCTGGCTGGATCTGAAGAAAAATCTTTAATACATTGTCAGAGAGTTCTGGAAAATGTAGAGAGAGTTTGCCAGGTCTCATTTGAGCGTCAACTGAAGCCAAAAGTCTTAGAATTGTATCAAAGAGGCAGAAGAACATTTTCTCCTGATACAGATAGCGAAGAGCAAGGAAAGTTTGAAAGTCTGGCTTCCGAGTTTGGGGTGGAAATAGCCAGGGTTCTCAACCAGCATCAACTGGGTGATCTCGACGATTGTGCAGGAGTACACTTAGATAGTGAGGATTGTGTGGATTCCTCCGTCTCCCAGCTTTTTTCCGAGGACCTATGTGCAAAGCTGTGTTTTAACTGGCTGAAAGCTGGTCTTTGTTTGTTTAATCTTGGAGTTAAACAAAGTGTCACTTTTCTCTTTCTCTCGTGTACATATGCAAGTATGTTTTATGATCATTGTGATTGTTCCGAAGTCATTCTACTGAAAGTAATTTTTGTTGTGTGTCATCTCAAATCCAAGACGAGTGAGACCTTCCCGGAAGTTCAAGAGAGATTAAAAACTGAATTCGGACGTTTGAAGAACTTCATTGAGGAAAAAGCGAAGAGAGTTGATAAGCCAGGAAGGAAAGCTGTATTTTTTGACGAAAATACAAATTTGATGATTGCTTTAGCAGTAGTCCTTCAGTCTTTTATAGAAATGGAAATGTACGAGATGGTGAACACTGTGCATAGTTTGTTTACTTTACTGTCAAACCAACAGTCTACGCAGATAACTCATGTATTGCTCGTTGAAGAGATTCGGTTTGCGCTTTATATTTCAAACATACAATGTCGTGGCAAACAATTCATCCATAACCTGATTTTTTTGACGCCTCTTGGCGTGATGTACAATCGAAAAATCATAGACAAAAACGATGAAGATGCTCCCTGTAACTTTCAAAGTAAGGAGCTTAGAAAATCTCTACATACAGACGACAACTTGGGAGAAAGGCGATCGACGAAATTTTTCAAAACTTTGGTGCTCAGATCTGACAATGCTCGGTGGAAAGGATCTTTCAGATTTCTCGTGGAGTGTCCAATCACTCGTGGAGTTGATGTTTCAGCGCTTAATCACACAAATGTGTGCAGTGTGAACGCAGCAGAAGACAGTCTTCCCTATTTGATCTCATGCAGTCATCAGAATATAGAATTAGCAACACAATATTTTATCGAATTGGAACTCCTAGACCCTTCTGAGACCTCTGTTTCTGAGATTTCTGGTGCTTCTTCCCTTTTGTCACTCTTACTATCGGCAGCCAAGGATGGTTCAGAATTTGAAACGCAATCTCCGGTTCTGATCAACACGGAGAAGACTTGTGAAGGAAGCTTAGCATTTATTTTACAAGACAAAGTAACAGCGAAGTTTTTATTGGGCAAGCTTTTAAAACAAATTTTAACCAATGAGGACGAGCTTGTTGAGGTTGTGAACGTAGCAGTCAAAGATAGCCAGCTCGTGTTGAAAATCCAAGGTCCACCCATTGGGCAAATCGTAATGTGGTGCCATGAAAACACCATCAAAGTGAGGACCCAGTTGATTCACTTATCTCAAAGCCGAAGAAAAGTTGAGATTGTCCAAGAAGAAGTTCCGTCGTGTAATTGCTCTCTTATTGAGATGGTCATCGCTGACAAAATGGAAGAATGTGCTCGTAACTTTGGAATTCATTTCGAGAAACAAAGAGAGAAGTCCTGGTGTTTTGCTTCAAATCCGCTTGGAAACGCAATGAGAGTAAGTTTTTTGAATGCTGTATTTATAACTGTAGGCATAAAACTTGTTTTTCAACTATGGTGACGAACCCTTGCCGTGCGACGGTTTATTTACTAAATGCAAAATCCAGCTGCTTACTAATGTAAAAAAATCACGATAATGACAAGTTCAGAGTTAGAGTGTTTCTTACTGCTTTATCAGCTTACCTCCGGGATTTATGTATTACATCGAAGAAATCTAAATTTTTTTCTCTTTTTTTTTTCTCTTTTTACCTTAAGGCCCCATAGTAGGATCAGAAGTTAAGTTTGGCTATCTTATAATTTTTAATTCGTTCTGTTCATAGGGGCACCAGATACTGGAACTGCAGCATAAAGTGGAACGTCCAGGCCGCATTTCTTCTCTTCCAACCTTACCTCTCAGACGGTCGTTCCTTTCGGAATCATGGACACAAACAGACTCCTTGAGTTTTCCTTCAACATCTGATCTTAGTACCCAAACATATCTCAGTGACTCAGATGAGTCTAAAGACCTGGTGGAGCCCACATCATCATCTAGTGGAGTAAGTATGTCATCATCATTAGCCTCATCGTCACCGTCATCATCATCTTCATCATCATCATCTTCATCATCATCATCTTCATCTTCATCTTCATCTTCATCTTCATCATCGTCATCTTCATCATCATCATCGTCATCCTCCGGTGAAGAAGTTACTGATGAGGTCTCCAGAAGGCCAAGGTCAGAACCAGCAGAGAAAGGTAAATGTTCAGTGCATTCCGTCTCCTCGTGTGCCTCAGAATTGAAGAAAAGCGGAAGAGAAATTCCAAAATTTGCAAATTCAGAGGAAGAGAGCTTTAGCATGGCTTATCCCAGTCTTTTCAAGTTCAAATACACTAGAAATGATTCAGAGAAAGGTCAAACAAATCAACCACCACCCGTATCACCACTAAACTTGAAAGTTCAGACGGATGGTAAATTACGTGAGTGTCAAAAACACCTTGAGAAGTGTATTCACACCGATGATTGGCTAGGGCATTCTATGAATGATGAAGTTTATGGTTCAGTCAAAAGCGTCGCGTGTAATATAGCTGAAATCCAAACTTGTCAAACCTATTCCTCGACAGCATCTGTTGAACCGCCTTTTCGAGGGGAAGGTGCTCTAACTGACAACCTCCCACGACTGAATACTGACCAGATGAAGCAACATGGCGGTGCTGTTGCCGCTGCCACAACCAGCCGGTGTAATGATGCCACGGATGAAAACCAACGAAATAAAGAACGTAAAGTCGATTCGAGGTCACTGAAGGTTTATCAAGGCAGGAAAAGCATGAACGAAGGGGATCTATCAAGAAGAAATCACAACTCAAGGCCCAGGAAATTTCTAGGCTTGAAGGGTGGAGGACAAGATCCATCTTGCTCTGACAGGGGCTTAAGTTACAAGAATCTTGAATCGATTACTTGCTGGAACGACAAAGACGCCAAGCCTGAGAAGGTTCGATCACGAGGAGGTGATATGCGAAACATTATTGATGAAAAAGAATCAAATTTCTTTGGTATAAATCCGTGCTTCCTTGCTCGTCACACAGATGACAGTGGCATCACCACTCCTATCGATGACATGGGGAGTACAACGCAAAACGCCAATGGATGGTCTTCCAACGCCTTCTCAACCCATCAGCGGTCGTCTTGTTTCAACAATGAGCAAGGCTCTCAAAGTATTTACTCCTTTCAAGCGCCATCATTTGGATCTGAACATCTCCAAACCTTTTCCGGTGATGACCCGGAAGTTGTGGTGGTACCTCTGTATGCTGTGGTCAATGATGACATGCTGTTGGCCCAAACACCCCTTTTGCCACAACAGAGAAAAGTCAATAATCAATATACTGATCATAAAGTGCAACGGGAAAGAAACTGTGATTTTAAAGTGATAAATGGAAATCCTGCGCGTGTATCTAATATCACCTCAATTACACAAGGCCAGGTCCCTCCTGAGATGGAAATCTCTCCTTTACCACAAGTACCCAAGAACAGAAATCTGACATGGGAAACAAGGACACTTGCAAATCAGGATACTGATAACCAAGGGCCACAGGGTGTCTTGAACGATAATTCGTCACACTCATATAATGATTCTTTAGCTGACCTGGAGCGAAAAGTGGCCGAAACTTGTTCCTTTGTCGAAAAAACCTTGAAAGAAAGGGAAGTAAAAGAAAAGGCGATGAAGGAAACAGAGCGAAGAAAAAAAGAAGAGCGAGCCAGGAAAGAGCAACAATCACGTGAGAGAAGAGAGAGGGAGGCAAGTGAAGCAAGACAAACGGAAGGCAGGAATGGCACAGAAGAAGCCAGAAACCCGACGAGCGATGGAGGAGAAACACCTTCGCAAAACACGGCTGGTACTGAGGGTCAACAATGGTTGTGTGAACATTATCAGCGGCTCTGTCGTGTCAAGTTCCCATGCTGCGGAAAGTTCTTTCCTTGTCATCGTTGCCATAACAACTCTGGGTGTCCAAATGAAAATTCCAAAGCAAGAGAGGGATACTTTGTTGAGTGCTCTGTTTGTAGCCATCAACAAGAGGTATGTAGATATGACATTCATTCAAAGTTTTATAAATATGGAAGTAGAGATGTTGCATCTAATCTTTATGCCATTTGCTTTTAATAGCTGACTTCTTTTTAAGATCAACCAGGACGCCCATACCTGTGCTAGATGTAAAACAAAGTTCTCGGCATATTTCTGCTCTGTATGTAAACACTTCACAAGCACAGACAAAAATCCATATCACTGCAAAAAATGTGGTATCTGCCGGTAGGTGAAACGATATTTGGACGAATTTTACTTTTTTTGTTTGATGATATTTTTGCTTCTAAAGAGAGTAAGGGAAAAATTGGCATGCTTTAATACAAAGTGTTACCGTTGGAATGGATAATTCTGGCGCTGGCCTTAGGGCGAGAGCATTGTTTAATAAGGGAGAGAAACGCCTGTTCGATACGCGCGTAGAAATATAAGTTTTCTAGGTTGCATTAGAATTTCCCACACCTTTAGGGCTTTCACTTTGAACAGAAACGTATGTGCTCAGCGAGTCATGTGCATTTTTTCTCGAGTATCTACTTTCGAAGTCATGCTCTTATTTTCCGTTCAGTATTTACAAGGACCGCTCCTTCCACTGTGATGTGTGCAACGTCTGTCTGGACAAAAGGTTGGAAGGAAGACATTCTTGCCGAGAAAATTCAGGACATGATGAGTGCTGCATCTGTTTGGAGGTAATGACTTACACTTCGTATTAACACTGTGTTGCTGAAATACTTCTAGATAAGGGGTTTTCTCTGTTTTGTTCGTTTCACCGCGTTTTGTCTTTGTCAGGTCTGCTTGTTTGTCAGTTGTCAATGTTCGTAGATTTTGTCATCGTTTGTACTGTCATAAGGTGTATTTGTTTTTTTTTCAAATCGTTTAAAATGTTACGTCATCTGTTGGGCTCTATCTATAAATTTAGAATTGTAGGTCAGTGTTTATGCTTAATCAATATTAAGCAGCTGAAGTGTTTTCACTCCCGTTGAGTCTGGATTTTATTAACGTAATTTTTTTTTGTATCATTCATGCATTTGACCGTTTTCTTTTCTTTAAGCGTAGAAGTGTGGGTTTTTAAAAGATGTTCATACAGAATAAATACGCCTGACCGGAGCTCTGCCAAAGGGAACATTTGCCACTGAATTTATCCCTCTTTTCGTAAAATAGTCTTGCTTTGGACACTTAATATATTATGACATTTGGCAACATACAAAAAGAAAACACTTTAATTCTTCTTAGCATGGTTCTCAGCGTATATGAAAGCGTTTCTAGACCCATGGGAAGAACCAATTTTACTAAAAGTAATATTGATAATACCTGAAGATACTTTACACCTTTCAACCTTTATTTCCAGGACGCCTTCAGCGGTTGTCAAATCCTGCCATGTTCACACAAGGTTCACAGAGAGTGTGCAATTGCAATGATACAAAACGGCGTGTGAGTATGCTCAAAATGACATGATTTTTTCATCACTAACATAACGAAAAAGGCTTGAATTCTGCTTTAGCTCTGAATCAGGTTCGTATGTGGAGTTGTGATGGAGGGAAGGGAGCAGTTGAATGACTCTGTCTGCCTCTTGAACTCCGACTGCGCCAATGGAAGTTGTCCATGAAGCAGTTTGTATTGAGTGTCGAAATTAATTTTTCTTTGCATTGATTTTGCTCTACTTTGTCATCCGATTGGTCTAGCAGCTCGATCCATCCTCTTGATCATTCAAGCACAAACGAAATGCCATCTAGACTGTTTTCCGCGTTTTCTTTCCTTTCGGGCAGATTTGATCGATCTGTTTAATCGAATCTTACTGGCTCCTTGTGCTGTTAACTTTTAATTGGCTGATGTGATCAGTTTGGTTTTGGTGAAAGATACTCGAGAGAATATTTCTCTTTGTATGCAGCTTTGGAACAGTTCTGCATCCACAGCAATGTCAGGTCGATAGTGAGCTTTGCGGCCTCTTTAAGTTTTAACCGTGATGTTACACTTAATTTTATGACTAAAATTTTCTCAATCTTATTCGGCGAAAGTTAGCGTTGAAGTCTTTCCTTTTAATTTACAGTCGCAGCTGCCCAATCTGTCGTCATCCTCTATACAGTCAGACAGGTGGCAATGAGTGATTGACAACCTCTATCTCAGGCCCTCCTCTTCTTCCATCGAGAAATTAGAGAGGACCCAGGAAACATAATTGAGAAGATGTTTTAACCGTGAGCATTTTTCAAGGAATAATCTTCACGAAATTTCCTTTTACAATTGTTTATTGTTCATATTGCGTTCATATAGTGTTCAAAAATTGTATAACAGCCCTTGATTAAGGCTATGTGGTCTTGTTATTCAGGTGAGTGTAGTCCTGGGAAGGATTGTTGGCGGCAGTAGAAACTGACGTTTCGACAAACGGAACTCATCATCAGAGTCGACTTACGCTATGACTGTCACAATGTCAGTAATACTTGCTCGGGACTATTCTGACCCGGACGATCAGCCCACATAATAGGGACTTTAAGCAAAACCCGACGGCTACGGCAACGAGAACGTGGGAAAAACAACAGATCTAATTGGCAGAATAATAGCCCAGCACGTGCGTTTTAAAACTTTGTACATTTCTTAGCCGTCCTTTGCAAAACAACAACGTGAAATTACCAAAATTTGCGTTGTCTGCGAAGCGAAACCGCGGCGGCAAATTATTTTAATTCACATTTGGAACTCAAGGCTACTTTTATGCGTTATGTTGAGTTTGAGGTCTGGCGCCCTATGAGACGGTAAACGCATGCAGTCATTTTCGAAATTTTAACTAAAAGTAGAAACTCATTTTTTAACCGACGCCTTCCGTGGCGTTTCCTTTCTGACTGCCTAAAGTCCCTAATCACATTTTACTACGGGTTCTAATCCCTTTACTGTTTAACGTTTATTTAATTCGACTGATCAGCCCTTTTGACATTGATTAACGTTTGACATCTCAAATAGAAATAGAAAGTAGTAGGTTTAGGCGAAACATGTGTAGGTGATTTAGGATCTCAGTACTCCAACTTAAAAATGTCATCGACAGTTGTCAAATATGGATATTTTTTACTATCAACCCAGAGATATGGAAAAATAAATTTTCGATGTCGATCTTGTTCTTCATTAAAGAGGTCTGGTTAAACATTTCCCCACGCTTATGTATCTTTACTTCATTTTCATAAATTACAACTTGAAGTGACAGACATGACTTTTGTTCAGAAACACTTCTTGAGTCAGCAAAATTTAGTCGGTCGTTTTTCTCAATATGACTTGAATGGATCCACCAAAAGTTTTTTTCGTGATCTGAATAACCGACGTGGTTGATTTGATAATTAATATGAGACACTCATTTGGAAGGACACTCTAGAAAAAAAAAGCACAGAATGGAACTAATATCATCGACTATCTATAAAATATTGCATGTATTCCATGATGATTCGATTCACGGCCAAGGGGACTGTTTCTCGCCAAAGCTGGTAACTTGTCGGTTATGTTTGAAAATCATATTTAAAAAAATACAAATCAAGTAGTTTTCTATTTCTTTACGATATTGGCATGTTACGGGCTCGTGTATCCAACATTATTATATAGATACTGGTGAAATACCAGGATTTTTCCTTTGACTAAAACATCATATCTTCATCACGCGCAGTGAAGATACTATTTTTATCTTTCGCGTGTGAGGTTATTGGTGTCGCCATGGTTACTAACACGATTAGCCAATTACAAGAGAGGTTCCCGCTCAGACGCGCGGGTGGTTCTTTTGAAATTTCATTTACAAAATGGCCTCGATGTGCGGAGACGGTATCGATATGTTTTCCGAGCTTGAGGAACATCCAGGAATATTAGCCGAAGTCTCGGAAAGTGAGGTCGAAAAGTTGTGTTTTATGTGGAAATTTTATCAGTATCTATAAAATAAACAGAACATGACATAGCCGCATGGGGGTACGAATTTTGTCTTCTCGTGCTGAAAGTATCTCATTGCCAGAAATTCAGGACAATATGGCGGAGGCAGTTCTCGTGTTACAAGCAAAATGGCGCCGAAACAGTATAAGAAAATGTATGGGAAAAGATTGTTTTTTCAAAATAGCTGTCTAACAATGGGATATTCTTTCGCTGCGTAGTTGGAAATACAGTCTGTATCGGTTAAAGCATCCATCGCTACGAAAAAGAGCCTACCTTTTCCCAAGGTATAAGAGTAAACTCATAATTCTGACTCTATTTTCTCATACAACTTCTTAAAATCTGCTTCAACTAGGTGTTACAATTCTTTTGTCGTGGGAACAACCTTGTGAGGATTCGCAACTGCGTAGTTCGACGTGCATTCTGCAGAAATTTGCGCAACTAAATCGCTCGTAATCGGTCGAATATGTTGGCCCACACATTTTCCTTGAGCCGGGAGATTCTTTGTATGTTCACAGAGCTCAAAAGCCCAATACGCCATTTTTAAATATCCCAATTTTAGGAAAAAAGAACACGAAAGATACAAGTCCCTGTAACTGCACAATTTGGCCGCCATTTTCCTGGTTTTGATGTCTCGTTTGGCTTTCTGGGATAGTAAGGTACCAGGTCTTTCTTTAACGGGGCTTTACGAAAATAGAAAGTTACATGTTCACTTCACTTTCACCGCCGCCAAATTGAATTGTCTATAATACGATAAACCGTTGACATTTCGTAACGGGCTCTAAATGTCCCCGATTTCTGGTGATATACAGCACTCGAAGATAAAATTCCTATCTCCGCGCGGCCATTTAATATCCTTTATTTTGTTATCTGAAGTGCATTAACAAGAACTCGTTTCAACTCAATACAGTATCCCTTTCTTATGCACAAGTGCTAGCAAGTTAAGAAGCTTTCAAGTTAGGAAATTTCATAGAACTATTGGCACAAATGTATTCTTTATAGAGATGAACTTT